CAACCGAGGTCACCAAAATCAAGGCTGATAAGACACCCTCATTATACATCAGCATATCAAGACATTCAACATTATATCAGATGGGGCCCATTGACAATGCCGCCGACCAAAAAGTAGCTTTACGAAAAAGGCATCGTGCAAATCCCGATATTTGTACCCAAAAAGTTACTATAAATAGCTAGTCTATATACTTGCACAAGGATCGGATCCTGAACATTTCTTCATATACACGTAACAGCTCACTGTAGCTTTTCACCTCGGTTCATCTCGGACCGGGGCCATCGTCTTTATTTTATTACGTAATTTTCACTAATTATTTGCATAAATCAATCCAGCATCAGTATAAACCCGTTGTTCTAATCCACATAACAACAGGATTCAAACAACTGGATTGAGATTGATTGTAAGAATTTCTTTCTTTATTAATTCATGAACAATGGTTGATTTGAGAGGAATTATTATGTTTGTTGAACTCAATTTACGTAGCTAATTCTGATTGCTAGGGATAGGGGATGATTGTTCTTGTTTAACGTGTATTTGTCGGGATTGATATGTTCATGCTTATGTGAGTTGAATTGATTAGGAATTGATGAATTTGTGCTTGATTAATTGATATAATCTAAGAGTGACACTTCGATCTTGCAGTTGGAAACAATTGAATGTTAATTGGTCGAGTTAGGGTTTGTCGATTATATATGATTAGTCAATTAATTCTCTTCTAATATAATTAGCGACTTTTAGAACCGAAAGGGAAGAAGTCGTAGACCTAGGCTCGCATGAGGTAGATGATTTCGCAACTGAATAGTCTATAGGTTTTAGATTAAATTACATGCTTGTCAATGACTCGTCCCTTGTTACGAAAAGTTATTAGGATTGGGATTATTGACCTGTGTCGTATGCTCGAGCTTGCTCGTCTATGTTCAATCCCTTGTTACGAAGAGTTATTGGGAGCGAACCGCTAGATGGCTAAGCGAGAGCGTCATTCTAGAATCGAACAATCAATGCCTCAGTTTTTGCAAAAAGAACTTGAATTAATTATCCCCGACTTCCTAGCTTCTTCATCTTTGTGTCATTTCTATTTTAAGGTAATTATTAATTTTTGTAATTAATTAGTTGGTAATTATTCAACTCCCTTATCTCATTAGAGTGTTTCAGATTTATTTTCTTCTTATGTGTGATCGATACCAAAGCTAAATTCTGAACTGCCTTCCTCGTGAGATCAACCGGGGGAACGAATCCTTCGATTCGGTACTCGGTAAAATTAAATAATTTGTACACAACCATGTTGTTGATCGTAAGATGCACTTCTTCGATTGCTGTCGAAAGATCCTCAACCCAACGATCAAATTGATTGATTTGGCGGCCGAAGCCCGTGGCTTGTCGACCCAGATACTCAATGGTGGCGTCACGCCCGTCGATGTTGTTCTCCCGCTGCGACATCTTGAATTGTATTGACTTCTGATACCAACTGATGTAGGAAAGCACACGAGTGAGACGATATTAATGAGTTTCGCAATCTCAGGAACATCTAAACACGATATCACATCATCTTTTCATTCAATAATTCATAATCAACCATCGAATAACAAAGAAGAGGGGTCTTTAAATAAGATACTCAAAACCCTAAACGTTATCTTGTCCATCAAGCCACCAAGGGATTATTGTTTATGGATTTTATTCGGTTTGTTTTTTAACAATAGGTAATTTTTTAAAAAAAAATGGTATGATTAGTTGTTAGTGAGTATATTAAAATAATATTTAAATAAAATAATTAAAAATGATTTGATGTTAAATATGAGAAAAATGATTGGAAGTGATAGTTAGTTAAAATTATGTCACTGGACGAATAACGAATTAAGGTTGATGTGATGTGTAAGAATGATTGGTTGATATTATTTAATTATATTAATAATATGGAAAATAGTAGGGTTAAGTTAAAGTTTAGTTAAAATTGAGCTTTGATTGAATTTTTTACTGTACAAACCATAAACAATCACCACCTAAATATTTAAATACTAAAATAATAATAATAGTAATAATAATAAATTATCTGCATCACTTAGCGACACTTACACTCCTCCTCGATTCCATCGGTTAAAGCAAACTCTAACTTATCCATTTCCCTTTCCCCATTTTCTTCTAATCCACCACTGACGACCACCTCTTCACCACCGAAATCCGTCGCTTTTCCTCCTTCTCGATCCAAAGTTCTTGCTTTTCCTTCACCCATAACCTTGTCCATGACATTACCCCTCGATTGAGAGATCCTTGACCACACGGATCTGAAGTTGAAAAAAATGGTTGATATTCGACTCATCCTCCCAGGTAGTCGACGTCGTCGCAGTGTCATCCCAGAGAATCAGTACTCGAGGTATCAATTTTTCCTTACGCAGTACCATACGTTTTGTAGATGTTGATAAAAGGTATGATCTTGACCTTCCCCTCTTCATATGTCTCAGTGAGTTTTGAGATTGGGGTTGTTGGCTGTGGCTTTCTCTTAAAGAGGGAGACATGGAGGACTAGGTGCACCTGTGATCCTTCTGGCAAAGCTAACCGGTAAGATACCTGGCCAACCTTTCCAGTGATAGTAAAAGGTCCGTAAAATTTAGAGGCCAATTTGACACCTTTTCTGAGTGAATAGAATTATGCCAGTACGGTTGTAATTTAAGAAAAATCTGCTCCCCAACCATAAACTGCTTCTCTTCTCTATTTCTATATGCGAAAAACTTCATTTTTTGTGCTTTTGTTAAGTTTTCTTTGAGCTGTTGAGTTAAATAAATCCTCTGATGCATGGTTCTTTGTTTTCTAGTAGAGTAGACTCTACGTAGGGCCCTAGGGAGAAATTCTGCGGAGTATCCATATAGAGCCTGAAAAGGTGACATCTTCGAACTGGTTTGATGATTGGTATTATACCAAAACTCAGCTAGTGTTAACCATATAATTTATCGGCTAGGGTTATCCTGGACCATTCCCCATAAGCAATTCTCAAGACATTGGTTCAATCTTTCAGATTGCCTATCTGCCTGAGAATGATAGGATAATGACATATTAAGTTGAACACCATGCAACTTAAATAGATCTCTTCAGAATGTGCTAGTGAAAATTTTATCTCTGTCACGCACAATGCTAACTGGAAGTCCATGTACTTTGTAGATGTTATCAAAAAATAATTTAGCAATAGCGGGTGCTGAAAAAATATGTGTGAGGACTAGGAAATGAGCATATTTGGTGAATCTGTCAATGATCACTAAAAGTACATCCTTACCACCTGACTTAGGTAGGCCTTCAATGAAGTCTATTGTTATATGTGACTAGGCCTAATTAAGGTATAGAAAGGGGCTATAAACTGACCTTTGAATTTTCAACGGTCTGATTGATCAGACGACCTAGATTCAATCTGGTCGTCGAGTCTCCAACAGTCGACCGACCCGGCCCTAAAAAGAAAAAAACTTCGAAAGCTCAGACTTGTCTTCGTGCCGAAACCGCCTCAAAACCGACGGGTTACAAAAAATTAAAACCCAAACCGACTTGTTTGCAGCACGAGTCTGAGTCAAAATGACCCGTACATAGCGCAGTCCCGGGTCGACCCTGGCCATCTCTAAGAGCATCCACAATGCTTTGGTTTCTTTCAAAAAAATGTACAGGTCACATAAGAAATAGACTCAGTCTAGAAATATATATATACTCCAATGCAAATGCAATTGAACTGAGTCCTGCTGATGTGACAACAACAAGAAAATGAAACCCGATAAGTCTATTTTAGACTCAAGTAGAGACATGGTCTCTTTTGCATTGGAGTTAATTTGTATACTTTTTTATATTTTTGTACATGTCATCCCAGACTTAAATTTATTTACATGCCATGTGATATAGGATATTATACTGGACCCGGTTTGATGGATAAAGCGGATACATATTGGAAGATAAGCCCACTAAGACATCTAAGCCCAACTTGGGCCAAAAAGGTACACTCCCCCTATAAAAGGGGGCCAAGGTAACTCATTCTCTCATTCTCTCCTCATTCTATTACTACACTTTATCTCTCTCTTGATCCGAGCACTGACTTAGGCATCGGAGGCCCGATGCCGGGGCCATCCCCGGCGTTGGGTTCTACAGATACGGAGGCCGGTTCGAATTAAAGGAGTTCGGGTGAATCATATTCACTTCATCATGTAACTAAAATTAGACCAAAAACATTGTACATTCTCTACCCCAAAATATGTACTATCTACTTCTCTCCTCAATCAGGGTTGGGACTGTTATGGGTGATCTCAACAAGAGGATAACGATTGCATCGGGAATTGCAGCACATAAACAGATAAACAATTATTACACCCTCCGCCAAACCTCTCTTTGGATTGCGTTTATGTTAGTTAATTCCATATACACAAAACTCCATAATAATACTATAAATAAATAGCATTCCGCACAACACAAATGGCGTCGTCGTCGGCACCTTTATTTCATTTTTACGCTCTTCCGTTTCTTGGCCATCGGAGCACGAATACCAACAAAAACAATCCAACGCCTTGTTTTTGTTCATCCTCAAATTCTTCTTGTTCGCCTTCGCTATATTCTTCCTATCCTAACTATTCTCCTTACAATCGCCGAAGGCATCCCTGGAATTCCGTCAACTTTTCCGGTAAAATACTAAGGCTTCTCTAGAATCTCTTGTATTTTATATCTAGTAGTATCTCTTTTGTTTTAATTCTGTATGTGTGTGTGCATCTGTTGTATTGTGTTATTTCACATAATTGAGGAGAAGGAATTTTTTTTTTTTTTTTTTTTTTTTTTTT